ATGGGATGTTAATGAGATTTCAGAAATGTGGAAATCAAAGTTGTGGGAAAATGTCTATATCTTGTTCCCATACATTTACATTCATTACAATGACACTAAGTGTAATGATATCTTTGATATTCCTACATGTGCAAATCTGTTGTTATATCCTGTGACCACTTGTTCTAGTTCCAGTCTGAGAACACAGATGTTGTGGTATTGTGTGATGGAAACTCAAGGTAACATGGATGTGTATTGCATTGTTATGAACATTATATATATGTTATACTTTGAGCAGTTTTATTTGACCTTGTAAACTGTTCAATATATCACCATGAAATTGACATCTCATAGTATCAGCTGGGAATAGAAAAAAGGAATAGAATGTTTCATTGTCTCAAATCCCAAAGGCAAACATGGTCAGAAAATGTACGTCCACATGGTGAGTTGTGTTGAATAACCCTTAGAATTCATGTTGTTTTTGTTTTGCATCTACAGAAAATCAGTGGCGGTGCCTGTGGATTCCTGTCAGGCAACATCAATACCGTCAGTGACGCAATGCTCTCAAAAAGAAGTGAGTGATGCTGAAAACTGAGTCTGTCTGAACCACCCTTGTGCCACTGGGCCAACGGCTAAAAGGTGCTCTCTTGCTGCACAAGCACATCAAGAGATTAAGAAACAGTTACTAAGATTCGAGATTGGACCTCACCCTCCATTCTGACACCAGCTCTATATTGGTTCTGGGTCTGCTTCATTATAATGCGTAATACTTCAGAGTGAATCTACTTTGTCGGATCTGATCATACTGTGTTTATGTGATTGACATATCCACCTCCTAACTTCAGATGGTGACAGGTGTCTGTACTGTCTGAATTCTTTTTTTCTTCAACTTGCCGACACTCAGGTGCCAACTATAAAGCTTTCCCCAATTTTTCTTATCCTTAACTTAACAAAAAAACCCTATACATACTTAAAATATGTTTAAATATCCCCCAAAATGTTACAGTATTTTGAAAGTTGGAGCTACTAAGACAGGTGACTTCAAAGCTCACGTCAGAGTCATTTTCAACGAAAGCCAGTTATTTTTTAGCCGTAAACAGAGCTTAAATGAGAGTTAAAATGATTGGATTGACATTTTACAGACTCCAAATTAATACTAACGGTGGTCCATGCCTAAATAATACACCATATCAATTTAAATGGTGGTATTATTTCAGTTGTGTTTAAAGATGATCTCTCTCCCCTAAGTAGCAAAAATACATAATTTGACACATTGGGTCTGCATTCAAAGATAGTTTTCAAATAGGACAACGTGTAGGAGATGTAGCATCTCATGAGTGGCAGAAGGTCTGAGTGTTTTCCTTATGTATTTTGTGTGTGTGTGTGTGTGTGTGTGTGTGTGTGTGTGTGTGTGTGTGTGTGTGTGTGTGTGTGTGTGTGTGTGTGTGTGGGCGGGCTGTGATAGGCTGGCAGCAGCAGGCATCTGGTGACATCTGGTCGAGACAGATAAAGTAAGGAACACGTACTCACACACTCGCTATCTGGCAGGAAGAAGATTCTCTCTCTTTGTCACTTTCTTTCTTTATTGACTTGACAGGTAAGCAGCATATGTTGGCAAACCTTTCCAATCAACATAAAAATGTGTCTTTTCAAAGCATTTTAATTCTTTCTCTTTAAAAATGACTGCTAATCTCCAGGAATATATGTTTTAATTAATGTGCCTTTACGAAAGATAGCGTTACCTCTTTCGCTTTGTTTTTAGTTTTTTTACATTTTGGCCAACATGGACCAGAAATGCAAAACATGTTTTTCATTTTAAACATATACAAATCCATGACAGCTGGACAGCTCCATCTGCTGAGGCAGATTTTGTTATAAAGGGTACTGGGTCGACCTTGTGCTGAGACAAACTACTGTTTGAATCAAACCCATACGTGACATTCCTGCTTGTCAATTTTAAAAGCAATATATCATTTAAAATAACTTTTGATAATAAGGTCTACTGTACTTATATTATAGGGAGCCAACCCATTATTTAACTACCCAACTGTTATACTAATTATTTGGTTTTTAAGATTTCAAAATATCCTGAAAAGTGATCGTTACAAGATCCCATGATGTCTTGTTTTGCCCGAACAACAATCCGAAACACAAAGATGTAGCGTTGACTATAATAAAATATTCATTTCAGAGTCTAGACCAGTGATCATCACAAAATTACATTAACAATTCATATATTTTTAAATAGAGAGCTCATAGGCTTTTATATGTGCTCCGAATTACTCTTACACAGATGAGATGTGTTTGATATATTCCCTTCTGACCATCAGGGGCCTGACCCTCAGGTGAACCGAGGTCGAGGTCCCAGTGGTCAGTGGCCCCCGGGGCAACGGCCAAATTGGCTCGGTCAGTCACCTTTGCTATGAGCAGATGATGTGTGACAAAAAGAAAATGAGAGAGGCTGACTATTACACAGGCCACATAGATGACAAAGACGTGGACAGGAATAAAGATGCGGAGCAGGAAGTGATATAAAAAGACAGATGAAGGGATGCTGAGGATAAAAAATGGAAAGTTGAGTGGAAACATGGGCATATGGGTGGATGACTAAGTAGGTAAGATGATAAATAGAAGAAGTGATGGTTGGATGAATGGGTGGATGCTTTGACACATGGCCCCCGGGGAATCAGCCATTATACATGCCACTGTCACTCAAGATTAGCGGCATAATTAAACTCCTGTCGCACTGCGTGTGGTTCGAATGTGTGTGTGTGTGCATTTGTTTGTGTGTGTTGTTTTCCAGGGTGTATGTGTGTGTGGGAGGGGTAGACTGTGACAGAGATTGATGGTGAGGGGAAAGCAGGCCATTATGCTGTATAGCTAAAGCATTGATAGCCTCTACACCTCTGTGTCTGTTTAAACTGCTTCCCATTTCATAGGCGTGGCACAACTGACCCTACAACACACTCACACAAGTCCACACACACAGATTCCTCACTTTTAATTGCTTGCTTTCAGGAGCATTTTGTTGCCTAATTTGGCTGTAGGCTGCAGCCGCGAGGCCTTCACTGAACTCCAGCCGCTGTGGGAACATTACAGAGCTACTGAGCTAAATGAAGTGTCATTCATAAAAGAGGCAATCACGCTCTGAAGTGTTAACCCAAGGCTCTTTCCAATAATTGATGGATAGATGTGAGCAATTTTAATATGCTACATGAAATGTTTAAACACTCTGTCCTCCCTTTTTTTCTTTAGACATTGAGATTTAATTTGCAGGTTATCAAGAAAAATTGGGATGAATTTATTATCTTGACAAATCAGACAAGACTCCCCACTGAGAGAGGGAGAGAGAGAGGGAGGCAGAGAGAGACAGAGGAAAATAGACTCGTTTACTATAATGGTTGAAGGCCATGTTTTTGAGCAGCTGCACGCCGACCAAAGCTTCATCTCTCTCTGTCTATGTTTGTGAGTCTCAGTGAGTGAAAAGAGCCCCGCCGCTCCCCTGCCGAGCGGAACATCAGCTGCATCAAGTGGGCCATAGGCAACGACACCAGGAACGGAAGTAAGATATTTTAGCCTTCAAAATAAAGGCACAGAATAGTCAAAAATACATAAATAAATCTGAAGTATTTAGGAAAAGTAAAAATAAAATGCATATGCTTAAAAAAAATATAATACATAAATGTTTATTCTTTAAACATTTTTAGCTAAAATATATCAAACAATATGAACAACATAACTTAATATACTTTTGATAAACAAGCTTATAACATAAACTAAGCAACATCCCTTTTGTCACCAAGGCACTACTAGACAACATTTAACATTTGAAGTGATGAATTTGGACTAGGGTGCATTGAATGTCAACTTAACCCAAGAGGTGGGAGAAGTACTCAGATTTTGTCTAGTACTAGAGTGTAGGAATACTCTTGTTACAAGTTAAAGTCCTGTAATCATAATGTAAGTCAAGTAAAAGTACAAAAGTATAAAAATATACTGAAAGTACAAGTGCTCATTATGCAGGTTGGCTAATATTCAATCAATGTTCTGATTATAGTTATTGATGCATTAAAGTGTTATCAAAGCTGGTGATGGTGCAGCTATAGTTTTAATTACTTTGTATACTCCAGGTGTAACTAATGTCTTAAGTGTTGATTATATTTAACATCATTAATCCAAATCTGCAAAGTAACTAAACATATTAAATAAATGTAGCGGAGTAAAAGTACCATATTTACCTCTGAATTGTAGTAAGGTAGAAGTACAAATTAGCAAAAAAAAAATCCAAATACTCAAATCAAGTAAAGTCCCTCAAAACTGTACTTAAGTACGGTACTTGAGTAAATACTTAGTTCCTTTGGACATATGAAATCTAAGAAAAAACATACTGTTTTAAGCAAGATACAACACAAATCAAACATGTCGGTGTGTGTGAATGTTAGTTTGACTGAGGGGGTTGTAAAGACAGGAAAAGTGCTATATAAATGCAGTCTACTTACCATTGGGACAGTTCTGTATTAAAGATAAATGTGCACTTAGGTAGCCGACTCAAAGGTCCAAAAATGTTGAATACTAGTAAACCTGAATTAGGTCTGAGGCGTTCAAGTTACCTCCTAAACAACCTCCTAAAACAATATGGGAGCCTGTTGAGACCCGATTTCAAATTCATTACTTTTTCTATTTCTAGTATTTCCGATGTAATATTTTTCTGTTGCAAGTAAAGTATTTTATAGATCTACGTTCTCTGTATTGTTGATACTTTAATTATATTCTTAAATAATACATTGCCTGCTGTGTTTTTTTAGGCAAAAGGATGGGTTATTCATTAGTGAAAGCTGTTTAGAAAAACATAGCCTACAGTTAATGTTTTATTCACCAATGGCAATCAATGAAAACACCATTGAAACAGTATGTTGGCTTTTATTTTGAAAATAACAACCGGAACAGCTTCGCTGATGCGTGTTGTTTGACTTCACAGATGGCAGGCGTGAGACGCTCTTGGCGGCTGTCTCTCTCGGTCCGTTGGTCCATCCCGGTTCCCATTGTCTCCCGTTTTCACTCCTTGAAGACAACACCGAGACTACAAACTAAACTCAGCCGTTTTCCCTCTCACACTACCTCGCGTACGTTACATTTGGACACTTATCTTGACCTGTATCCTCACCCTGTCCATGCGAAATGTGGACACGCTTTTCTGTCTTTTTAACGCTGTAGAGATGTATTCGCTGTTACGGAGGAGGCAGTGATTTACCCGACCAGCAGCTGACCAAACTGGGGGTTGTTGTGGAGCTGCAGGGGAGATGCTCCGGAGGACTTGTTAGCCAACAGAGACGCCGAAAAAAAGCTTCCACTGTCTGGAGACATATCACAACATACTAGCAACCCCGTTTTGAGTGGATAAAACACAGAATTCAGACAAAAAATAAATAAAATCTTGGATTACAACCGCGGTTTTGGAGATAAAAAGAACCACGTGTTTTTGAACGGTGTTAATGCGAGGATGTTGCCGCGACAAGCCCGGTACTTCCCCTGAGAGGAGCTGCTCCATGAGAGGAGGCAGGGACCACTTTCACTTTTTTTCTCCACCCTGAAACAAATTAGCCTGTTTCAATGATCCAAAACCGAGTGGCGCCTAATCGGATTATCAAACAAAAGACCATTTAATTTGGGGAATACATCCATTTAATCTCACCATCTCCCCCCGATTTGTCACTGTTTGTGCAAGTGGCTACTGTATGGTGCCATGCTAATCCTGTGACAGGTATGCGACTACTCGACGTGATTGTACACTTTCTAATCAAGTAGAGGAGAGTCACAGTTGCCCCTTTTTCATTGATCAAGATAGTTTTGATTGTGTCAAGATCACACATGATCAGAAATCTGACTTGATTCCAAACCAGTCAGTCAAAAATACATCACACAATCTGACTATCAAACTGCCTACAGTTGCAGAGGGTTGGATAGGCTCTTCCTATATAATTGGCTCCATGGACACATCAAGAACAATTTGTGGACTTGATTCATCCCCAAGGCCCACCTTTCCATCATTTTGATCCCTGACCCAATGTGTGTTGGAAATCCAAAGAACCACGTTTCAATCTGTTTAAGTGTCAGCAACCCAGCCATTTGGATGAAGTAGTAGCCTTTTATTCCCCTGAGCTCCAGTGAGTACAGGGGCTGCACTCTGTTCGCTGAGGCCGAGCTGCCAGAGCCTCTACCTGGGCGGCCAGCCAGCCAGCCAGACAGGCCCTCCGAGGGCTTTTTTGGATTTTGAAGGTCCAGCTGGAGGATTTGGGAGTTTTACCCAGAGTTTCTGCTCCACCTGGATCACCGGGGAGAGAGGAAGGAGGACAACATGGGGTGCTGTAGTGGCAGGTGCACCTTGGCCTTCATCTGTGGCATGCAGCTGGTAAGTGGTCTTTTTACTATTGATCATGTAAAATTAGCAGCCAGGAGAAAGGAATTCTTTTTTTGAAAGAGCTCAGAAGAAATCACACATCCAAGCCATGGAGCAGAATAGTTATGGGTAGATGGATGAATGTAGGGAAAAAGATGGATGGCTGAAAGGTCACATTTCAGAAGTTAATAGGTGTGTAAAAGGTCATGATACAAGCAAGGATCTGGTTTCAGCGACAGGCTGACAAATGCGTTGACTGGAAGGATGAATGGCTGTTGGTGGGAGCCTTAAGATGGTAGTAAGAGTCCCCACAGAACATTGATGGATAGATGGAGGCTGGGAGTGATGAATGGAGGCAGTGGATGTAAAGGAAGGATGGATGGCTGGATGGTAGATGGATAGATGTATGGGGCAGGTACATGTGATTTATGGGGAAACATGTATGGACTGAGGCAGAAAGGAATGGTCCAGATATAAACTCATGGAATCAACTTCCTGTGTGTCTGACACTCTTTGTACCCCATTCTCCCATCTCCATCTGTGTCAATGGAAACTGGTGCCAGGCGAGACAATAGGGAGGGTCTAGGAACACAAGTGCTGTTTTCAGTTTGTTTGTTTTCAGTTTTTTTTGTTTTCAGTTTGTTTGGTTAAGTCTTCCACGTCAAAGAGAAAGATCCCACCTAGAACTCCAACTATGAAAAATGAAACAGCAAATTGAAGATTGATTGTCTTACCCTCCCAAACATAAAATGGCCAAATGTAGCTAGAAATGCCCAAAAAATTCCAGGACGCCTATAGTTTTTTATTTGCAGAGACAATCATTTGAGAAATTCATCAAGGACAACTTGAAAAGTAACACAACATTGGCATATTATTGTGGCCTAAAAAGTTAATATGGTGAGCATGTTGGCTTACTATTATTAATTATTAATCTATCTACAGAACATTACCAATTTAAGCATTTATTTGGAAATGTGTTTCTGGCCAAATCAATTAGCTAAGTTTAGCTTGCCGCAACCTTATGAGGGTAATATCTCTTTGCCTGCAGGATTCATTAGCTTGTCCATCTAGCCACTAACATTTAGTGAAAGAAAGGGTGCACAATATGGGGATAATGTGATCTACTAAAACATTGAGTATAACGATAAGAATGTTAGTTGCAATAAATGAACGCATTTAATTAACTTGGTCCTCCTTTCTGCTACTTTCCGTTTTCTGCTAGAAGACAATAAATAGTCTGTTGAATTCAAAAACTGAAAGGAGATAATTCCTAGAAGTCTTTTAATAAACATTGAACTGAACAAAACAAGTTACCAAAATGGAAAGAGTTTTAGTTCAAATTGTATGTGCAGTTTCACACGAATACGCTCTTTTTTTAACAAACAAAGAAATCCCCATAATGCAATTTTGTCTTATCTGAGGTGTTTATGGTGTGGGTTGACATTGCAATGACATACAAAAATACAAAATATTGTGCAGCGATAGTCTGACTTTGGTGCAGAGAGGGACAGTGGGTACAGCAAATATGATATATTATATATATACCTAAATACAAAAGAAGCAGAGGGAACTTTGAAGTCAGAGGTAAGGTAATTAATCCCTGCTTGTTTGTCACTATGATCAAAACCCTTAACATTAAATACAGTAATTAAACCCATTATTATCACTATTTTGATTGCTATCATTATTGTATCAGCAAGAGTAACAGCTTTAGTTGTAGAGGTAAGTCATGGCAATATTTTGTGTGGATTAGCCTGGAAATTAAAGGATGTCAAGTAGAAACAGAGTGGAGAGATTTAGGCAATACTTACCACAAAATCAGTCCTTCTTTTCTTTCAATGCATCTTTAATGCCTGAGGATCTCGAGGTGCGCATACAAACAGAAGCAGTAGTGTGATATAGAAAGAGACATTGTATATATGATGCATAAACATGAGCAGAACTGAAGCATTCCCAGTTCATGGAGTCATGTACAGTAAGTGTGTAAAGACCTATTGTCATGTTGAATAGGACCCTGTTACAGACGTATGTGTGTGTCGGCATGCATGCGTGTGTGTTTGTATTCATATGTCATGAATCCACCGAATTTACCGTAGGATATTAATGCGTCCAACTCTTGTTGTGCCTTAACAAGTCCATTGTGCTGTGAACTGGGACATGGCTATGCACATTTTTAAACCCTTTTTTTGAACAAAGGCTGTGTAAGCCAACATGTCTACATGAAAATGCCAATGAGATTGTGCTTTACATACATGAAGCTCACCATTGTGCTGTAAATGTGGATGTTTCCGTAGTGAGAGTGAGTGTGCTCGTGAATGAGACACTGTCACAGTGATAGTCATTGTGTCTAATGCGCTGGAAATAATGATATGCCATAGTCAACAACATGTTTTGCTCTGTTAACTGTTGTAATAGCTAAGCCAGCTGATACCACCACTAGCTGAGCTGAAAGTCTAATACTACTGTATGCAACATGCACTCTTTCTTAAAACACCAGTCATCCATGTTGTAAGGATATACAGTAGGCTTTTGCGCAAGATGTTAAGTTCTTGTTGTGTCATTGCTGTAGTGCACTGGAAACCACAATGCCCACAATCCTCTTTGTAAAAGCAGTCTAATGGACCACTAATTAAAAGACAGCCTTTTCTCAGCGTACCCCCTTCTGGAGGTAATTGTTTTAGCTATGTAAGCTTTCCACTTAATAGTTGACCTTGCAGAGCAGAAAACAATGCTGGTCAGTGTGTCTTATGTAGTGGAACTGATGTCTTATGTAACTCTTAACCAGAGTCTTTTTCTTCCGCTTCATTAGCTAGGCTAATTGGGGAGATAGGTGATGTCATTGTAGCTGAGCAGAGATCAATGGTACCGGGTGGAGATATGTCTATTTCCCAGCTGACGTCAGCGTGTGTCAAGTGTAATCAGCCCGAACAGGTACAACTATGCCAGTGGGAGATTTAAATGAGAGTAAATGTGTTGTGAGTGATCCTGTGTGATAAGCTTACTAGCTACCTTAAAGGTCACCTGCTTTTTAAGATGTCAAACCACAACACAATGAACCACATAAAAGTGCTGCTATATCATTTAAAATAATTGTCTTCTGCTTTCCTGCTGTGGCTATTGGCTTCTGGGATTTAAGACTGCAACTAATGATTATTTTCATTAATGATCTCAATTACCATAAAATGTCACAATATTCTTACAGGTGCAAATTCCTAAAGGCCAAAGTAACATCTACAAACATCTACTTATTTTGTCTGACAAACAATACAAAACTCAAATGCATACGATACAAAAATACTTAATTGTTTGACATTTTTCTTGCATCACACCTGCGCCATTTAAGAACATCAACAAGGACAAAAAGACACCAAACAGACTTTTAACATGACATCACAAACTCTGGACAATATGATCCTTTTGATTCAGTTAGTTAAGAGAGAAGCAAAAAGCAAATCCGCCAGGTGGAGAAGGTGGAACCAGAGAATGTTAAGCCCTTTTACTTCGAAAATGACTTAAATGGTGAATCGATGTGGTGATTGAAGGTATCTTTTCTGTCAATCAACTAATTTGATAAATTGTTTGGGCTGCATTTGAAGGGCTGTATGGCGCCTCAGGCTCAGTGGGATACGTTGATTGAAGTACTGGCTCAAGCACTGTAATCATGTGTTTTGTCCTCCATTTTTTGGGACCAACTGTTTATATAGTTTTTGTCTGCTTGCAGTGAGAAGTTATCTGAAGGTTTACTTATCTAAAAATAAGTGTGTTTCAAGGGATTCATTAAAAAAATCTTTCCTTTTTTATTAATAATTGATTTAGATGGTGTTTTGCTTTGTTCTTGACTTTCTTTTTTGCCAGGCCCAGTCACTTCCTGGAGTTTTGTCTTCAATGTAAAGTAGCCAAGCAACCAGTGGAGAAGCCAGTAAATCACTTTGCCTGGCAAAGAAATAGTCCAGCACAATTAAACAAACAAGCTATGATATTTATCCTACAGACAAAGAGAGTGATATCATTTTTCTTGTCTACAGTAATTCTCAACATAAAAACAGATATATATATATATAGTATATATCCCACATTTTTTAACTTCTTTAAAAAAATCCTATTTTGAAAAGCTAACATTGAAATTGGGTTATTCAAGCCCAAATGAGGCGCAACAGTAATATTTACCAGCGAAAATGAAACATATCCACACCCTGAAAAGTGTGTCAGCGCTGTGATCATGGAAGGAAGATTATAAAGTAGGTAGAAAATATCAGAGAGCAAAAAGATCATAGCGAATCAGATTGTGATTTTACCAACACCTTGTTATACACACAGCCCCACACACATGAACACTAAAGCCAATGGTGACTCACTTCTGTCACGATGGTTGATGTCCTTGTTTCTATATTGGTTCGTACACCCACCAACTGCTGTCACAAAGATGATTACTAAATCGCCCAATAGCGGCAACCCGTGGACTCGGGCCATTGGCTGGTTCGGTGGAGCTGGTGCAGATGGTTGGTGGGTGTTTATGTTGATGGAAGGTAATTATGTTGCTGTTGTTGTATAAGCTAATTGAATACAGTGAGTGGAGTTGAATTTGCAACACAGCGTAATGCACATTAAGGGTTAGATGACAATTCCTAATCGAATATAAAACATACGGAATTGGTCTTTTCAAATAAACACAAAATTAGGATAGACTGTCTAATTCGGTTTCAGCTGGCATTGCAAAAACATTTATATATTTTCCCCCCTCAAACTGTTTTTCCAGTCATACTCCAAATTTCAATTGTATACATTTACTGTTACAAGGTTGGACACATACAATGGCCATAGGTATTCAGAGACCCAGTGTTTGTCTGTCTGCAGCAATACTTTCATGTGACATTCCCACCATAGAGCAACATAATGAATAATTTACCACTCGGAAGCTGTGACATGAATGCAGGAATGGTATATTTGCATGTTTGCCACGTTCTGTACCTGATTGCAAAACATTCATATGCAGTCATTGAAACCGAGAAGTC